CAGCTTGACAAATGCGTGTGCTAATCCATTTCCTGTTCGGCAAAGCAATGACAGCCCTTGACTTATGATTTCTTGGGTTAAATGTTGAACTTCAACCTGTACAAAAATGAGATATAAATGAAAGGCTAGTGGCTTCAACACAGAAACGACAAAAGTACTACAACTTTATTTTATTCAAAACACAAAATGAATGACAGCTTAAATTGCACAATGATAAACCAATGACAGCAAGTTATCATGTAAGGTGAAGGTCAGGCTTGCCGCTTTGTTCGGTACACCTGTTCAACTGCTCATTAGGGTAAGTATCTAATTAGCCAATCAAATGGCACCAACTCAATGTGTTTAGGCATACATAGGGAGTTAAGACAACCCAGTCAGTGGCTGAAACGACCCAGTGAAACTGAAACTGGGCGCAGGATTGGGGAAGAAAGCTGACATTGAATGTGGCACGGTTCTTGGTGCCAGGCAGGCTGGTTTGAGTATTTTATAAACTGCTGATCTACCAGGATTTTCCCACACAAACATTTCTAGGGTTTAGAGAGAGTAGTCCAAAAAAGAGAAAATATCCAGTGAGCAAAAATTTCTTGTTGATCTCAGAGGTCAGAGAAGAATGGCCAGACTGCTTTGAGTTGGCAACGGTAACTCAAATAATCACTCATGACAACCAAAATATACAGAAGAGCATTTTTGAATGCATCACATGTTGAACCTTGAAGAGGATGGGCAACAGCAGCAGAAGACCACACTGAGTTCCACTCCTGTCACCTGCGAGTAAGAAACTGAATCTAAATTCCCACAGAATCACAAAATTGGACAACAAAACATTGGAAAATGTTGAGTCTTGATTTCTGCTACAACATTTGTATGATAGGGTCAGAAATTGGTGTAAACAACATGAAAGCATGGATTCAGTCTCTCTTGTATCAACAGTCATTGCGGACAATAGCTCTCTCTTCATGTACTCATCTGCTACCGGGTGCTTTCGGGTAGATGGCGTGCAATGTCACAAAGCTCATATAATTTCAGACTGGTCCCTTGAAGATGAATCCAAAAAAGCACCTTGGCGTATAATCATGGATGTGCAGCTGACAAATTTGCAGCAACTGTGTGATGCTGTCATATCAATATATCAACCAAAATCTGTGAGGAATGTTTCCAACACTGTGTTGACCCAATGCCACACAGAATTAACATTCAAAAGTCTTCTCTTAACCAAGGTATATAGTAATGGACCAACAAATTACTGGCCACTGATTTGACCGTTTTGCCAAGACAGTTTCCTACCGTCAGAAAAAATAAATAAATTAAGATCTTCATTGATAAACGTTTTTATTCTAAGACTAGGCTTTAATCCATGTTAGTGAAACCGCCAGCAGGAGGGCCACTCCCAAGGCTCAAACTGTCACTAATTAGTCAACAACTAGAATTTAAACGTGGAAGAGCTTCAAACCCACTTGTGGGAGTACTTTACAACAAGCTGGGCCTCTTTTGGAAACTAGTGACCAGAAAATACCCTGTGTAGGGGGTTAAATGGTGCACACACACGAGTAAACAGACAAGCTCCAACTTTATCAGACATTACCTTGTTTGGGTAATCAGGGGGAGGTACGTGATTCATACCAGATTAATAGCAGAGATATCCGCTAACATGTACGAATTAGCTGTACATATACTCGGCAGATGCCCCCCATTTACTGTCATACCTTCTCATCTTCGGCTTCTTTAAGGTGTTCTTCTCCTCCTTCCACATCCGATAATTCTGGGTCTTCGTCAAAGTCAGACATCCCGATTAGTAAACTTTATAATTTGACTAGTTACAAACCAGCTGAAGAGCGGATTAGAGAACTGCAACAGGATTTCCAAACCAGCTAACTTGCTTATTTTGTGACTGCAGCCCGACCAAGCTAGCTATCTATTTACAGTGTTTAGCGTTGTACATTTATGTTAGAACTGCCAACACATGCAGACACTGTGAATGACATACTATGGATGTTACCTTCCAACGTCATATGAAGGAAAGACAGCTAAATTTATTGGTTATTACAGGTAATCCAAGTGTTTTTTCTCCGATGGCTCTCAGCAAACCGACGACTGAATGTTGCTGATCACCATAGAAACCATTCCGTAGTAACCGGAGCACAATTAATTTAAGGAACACAAAAGTAGTTTGCAACAGCTATACAGTTTCACCATGTCAGTGTTGCTTTACAAACCCGATGCCAACACATTACATTCCTCTTTTTGTGCGGATAAACAGCTTTGGAAATTTCAATGCAAAATGTTGACATGTTAGCTACAGTTTACTGACTAGCCCACACAGTACACGAGTCAATATTGGTGAAAATGTATTATTTTGAATTCATTTACATGAGCTTGATGAAACACGGTCACATTACTGAACAAATATAGAAATAAAAAATACTTCTCTGAAAAGTTAGCGAATGTGAATCCATACCTGCTATATGACAAACTGAGACACTTTAACCCTATACACTAGTGTTAGCATGATCCTGTCCAATTCATGAGGCCACGAGTCTGTTAGCTTTCACTGTTGTATAAAAATGCTCTTTTTAAAATGTACACAGTTCAAGCCCAGATTAGTCATTCACTGAATGACAAGGCATATAGCATTAATTAAAAAAAAATCTATGGTGCATAGACAGTAATATTAAAAATCCCAATTTGCTGACATAAAGACAGCAAATGTTTTCCCGTCCACAAAACTTGTTTATCACACACAGGCTCTGAAGCAAGTGAGAACTCAAAACTGCATCATTCAGGAAGCAAGCAAAAAGGTGCAATCTGTGCAATATCCTGACATCTACTGCTACAGGATCAGTTCATAAGATCATTACCACTGAGCACTGCCATTGTTGAGGTAACTAATGTCAAATCAAAATTTTTTAAATATATTTATCTATATGATGTTAATGGTGAAGTGTTGCGTGCTGGGCTTCGTCTTTGTCTTTTGTGGGTCAGGAAGATTAATGGTCACTCCACTTGCATATTGCGCAACAGCAGTCCTCTTTTCACGCCTCCCTGTAGCATTCTTGCACCGAGACTAGTGTCTGTGACCCCATCACTACAGGAAGAAAACAAAACGTATAAGGGGACACACAAGTACAAATAAGTTGTGTCACATACATCGTAGTTAAGTTATACAGTTGCACCAACATCACCACCACACAAAGCTGTAACTAGAATCAAACTAAAGCAAAAAAGGAACCAGTCCATGGCAGTGTCAATAGCAAGCTGTAACCCTGAAAACCATACAGCGTCTAGTTAGTGGCATCACTGCTGCTTCCTTACATGGGGTTAAACTTCCTCTTCTTAAGTTCAGGGCCGTCAAGTCCACCTGCTAGTCTCTGCAAAAAGAAAAGATAGAATTATTTTAAAAAACATGAATTTCAACATGATTCTGCAGATGTGGAGGATTGACCAACCTCTTTGCTTGCAGCTTCCTGCTGGGCTCTTCTCTGCTCCAGGTTTTGCTGAGGGCACAAAGAAGTGAAATTCAAGTCACAGCTGCAACAGGAATGCCAAACTGGATTTTACACTCGTATTGCGCACAAAAGGTCTTATATGCAACATTCAGTTTACACACCCTGTAAAACTGAATCTGAATGGACGGCTGTTAAAAAGTAGATTAAGGTGACTTTGTTCACTGGACAGACTAAAATAAATAAGATCTTCATTTATAGGCTCTGCTTTCAGGCTTTAGAAGCCAGAAACCAAATTCAACTTACTTTAGTGCATAATCAGCACATGTATGCACCTGCATCTGCCCACTTTCAAATTCTCCAATTTCACATGTGTGCCTTTAATCACCAATAACAGCAGCTGCTGGTGCGCCTCAGTACTTGTGCACACGAGTGCAGAATGTATGGTGTCGCTCCTCAACAGAGCACTGATGCTACTTATCATTTGTAGAGTTTTTATGATGAAGTAAAACTTTAAACCACCTTATGTAGTTCAGAAAGCTGCTGGTGCCTGATGAGGGCCTCCTTGCTTGGGAACTGCCTCCTACACAGCAGACAGGCCAGTTTAACCCAGTCTGTCAATCTTCCTTCCTTTTCATCCTTCTCGCCTCCTTCTTCTTCACTGTCAGTTTCTCCACTGTAGGCTGGGACCAGACCCTGCTGCCGAGGAGGCGACTGCTCAGGGAACAATAAAAAGAAGAAAGAAAATAAAGAAAACGTACACCTCTAACACCTACAAAATCTCTCTCTCCCACTTCCTTACTTCTGCACTTTGGCGGATCTGATCCAAATAAATCTGAGGCCGTTCAGACAGAGCCCCCTGGAAGACAGAAAAACATTGATTCAGTGATCTGTTAATATCTGCGTCTATGATTCAGACAGTCACCATCACAACCTCAGCCCTGAGGGTTCAGACATTTACAGATAAAACACACCTTTTTCTCCAGAACAGCATAGCCTGCATCAGCACTCGCAGACTCTCTATGATCATCTAGGCGACTGTGTCCAGGTGCCCGAGTATAACCAGGAGGTGCTGTTGAGCCGGTGGCAGGAGATGAAGACACAGAACGCATGTTCTCCTTTTGTCTGTTGAGACTTTTAGCCCAACGCTCCATGTCTTTGGCAATCTATTATAACAAACCACAAGAAACTCAGTTAAAAATTACTTAACTACATATTTTAAGTGTCAAACTGAATGGGTGGCAAATTAACTTCAATTAGCCATTAGCAGATATATTTGTTAAAGCAGAAATGATAATGTCCAAAAGCTGACTTCTGTGTATCAGCACCTGTTGAGCTGTTTTATTCTTGGGTTTGTCTTTTTTCTCCTTGCTGCCCGAGGTAGCAAACAGTGACTCTGAAGGAGCTGCACCATCACTTGGAGGAGCTCCTTCTGTGTTTGACTGACTGGCAGCAGGAATGTAGGTATGTTTCTCTCCATCCCAGTACATGTACTGCTGAGTGTGAGAGTTGTAGTAGTACTGCAAAGACAAAGGGAAATGCAAAAACAGATAAATACCAAGGGGCATAAGCAACACACACAC